ATTAGAAAGTTGATGATTTCTTAAAAAGAAAAAAATTAAGTAAAAATTGAAGGGCTCGAGATAAGGCTCTAACACGGGGCTTTGAGGAGACATTACTACTATTATCATCTTTAAATTATTAAAATAATTATTTTTTTAATTTTATTATTATTATTGTTTATTATTATTTTTAAATGATTAAAATAATTATTTTTTAGTTTTATTATTATTATCTAATTAAAATAATTATAATAACATCAATAAGTAGATAAGTAGAAAGTTTAAAATAAGATTATCTTCTTGTTTTAATAATAATAATAATAATAATAAATAATAATAAGTATATATATATATATATATATATATAAATTGTCTTTTTAAATGAATAAAAAATTATAGTTAATAATAATAATAACAACAATAATAATAAGGGAAATTGAAGCGGGTAGCATAAATCTTTTATGTATTTCAAAATATGTCGCCTATTTTAAAATTTTCAAATATAACAAAAATTTTCAATTATATAAGTAGTATATTAGATACTCATATTAGTATTGTATTAGTTACTTATATCAGTAGTATATTCGATATATATCATATACATATTGCACAGACACGGATCCGGGACCTTACGTAGGTTTCAATTGGTTTTGAGATGGAACTTCATGAATATTGATATAGTGTCAGAGCCTAAAAGCTTAAACGAGCATTCAGTCAAGATCGATGAGCCAAAAGAGTCACGATTTAACTTAATCCTCTTTATTTCCTTTTCATTTTTTCATTTTTTGTTCCTCCTTCCCTACCACCGCGCCACCCCCTCCCTCTGCCACCTCTGCCCCCATCGCTCCCTTCCCTCCACACTTTCTCCCTTTCTCCCGAACAAAAGATCTTAGATCGGAGAGATATCGAATGACATGCATGAAGAAGAATAATGTGACAAGAGAAAGTGAGACGAAAATGGAGACTGTTGGCATTTTGTATATTTTAACCTAAAAATGACGTGTCTCATGTAAATGAGTTTGGTTATTGTTTGAATACAATTATAAATTAGCCAACGTGTACCTATCAGTATTATTGTAGTTAAAACAAAATAGCTTGAATAATAACAATAATAACCATGAATATGAGCATAGCTCTCAAGTAAATAAGATATTGTGTTGCTGTTCAATTATCTATCTCTTATTTATTGTACTAAAATTTAAATAAAAAATAACTGACAACCCATGGTTCTTTTTTTAATAGAATATGTTAGTATGTGAATTCGAACTCATGATCTTTTGATTGGAAATAGATACCTTGACGAATTGAGTTATGCTTAATAATCGATCTCACATCCACGAACAATATCATCAAGTGAGTGTTTGGTTCATCATTTGCTCTATTATTATGCAATATTATTATTTAATGGGGAATGAATTGGCAATTTGTGGATAATATTTTTGCAATAATAACAAAGAACCTTTTAGAAGCTTATAAACATAGTTCTCGAACAATGCTGTGGTCTCAATTCTATAAAAATATTTATGAAAATAAAAACATAAGGGATAAGTTGGTAAAAAAATGTTTTAAATTCATAAATAAATACAACAACATTAATGACATTTATGGTGTTTTTCAAGACCATATCAATATAATCCCAATAATAGCAACTGGGTGTAAGTGTTTCATTATTTGCGCTATCATATACATTTTCTTTTTGTATAATTAGAAACTATTTTTTTACGGAGAAGATTTGCTCGAAGAAGCGACGTGCATTTTTAGAGCGCTACTTTGAACGACCATATAACATAACTACTGTTTCTCTGGATCCCAACACATCAAAATCTTATCTCCTTCTTGATAATGTTTGACATCCCAATCAACAGCATAGTCTTCATCGGAAATCCTTCTCATGCTTTGTTTTTTTGGAGCGAGATGCATTTACATCAAACATAGTGATTTTAAGTCCATGCCCTACGTTATTTATCACTTTTTGAACTTCGCTTTCCGACCACCATTTGAATAAATTCTCTTTGAGCTTCAATTCATCTTCTCTCAACAACATTGTTCCATTCATCTCTCTTGCTCCCACATTTTTTGTCATTGTCCAATTGCTGTCCATTTTTTTTATTTTTCTTTTTCACCTTTTAAGTCCTTATCGAAATAGTAGTTGCTATGTACGAGTATATATATAGATCGAAATATTTAATATCATGCATGCATGTTGTACTCCACACGAGAGGTGTAGTTTATTTCTTTAATTAGTATCTTTAAGGACAACCGATTAATGTGTTAGTCATGATCAAATGCAAGCATGCTATAATTAATCCATTAAGAATGACATGTTTTTGAAAGGTAATTGTGGCGTGGTTAATTAAATTACTTCTTTTTTCAATATAACGTTCCTTTTAAAATAGTAATGTTTGGTGTTTGTACGTTTGTTTCAAGCCCAAATAAGGTCAGAAACTTAAAAAGCCAAAGCACATCTATTCTTTACGATAAATTAGTAATTTTGAAACCATTCTTAGATATAGCTAATAGGGTGACTAAAGTTGTATTACAATATTTTCTTTAGATTTTGATATATCTTAGAAATACCACGTATATTGAAGTCCTATACCATACACATATGTGTGTGCGTATGCCTATCCATTAGGAAAATTTTTATCAGAAGTTAAAAATGCAACACTTTTTCAAGTTTTGAGGTGAAAATTGTGTGGGTGTGTTTTATATTTATTGGAGGAGTTTCATGTGAAAATTGCAACATTTTTTTAGTACAACTTGTGGGAATGGAGATCGAACTCACCTAATGTTAATTATTACTACTGAGCTATGCTCGCTTTAGCATGAAAGTTGCAACATTTATCTAAGGTTTAACTTATTGAGTTTAGGATAAAAAACCATCATTTTCGCTTTTTTTTTATTTTTTTATTTTTTTTTATTTTATCCAAGAGGACTAGAAAGTTCTAATAAGTCCAATAACTCATTCTAGATTTTTTTTTTTTTACCTCTCTTTTTTACAACCGTAAATAAAGAAATGAAAAAGATTGGGGAACTAAAAATATTGTCTTTTTTTACAGTTTCTCCTCCGAGTTGCAGTATTTTTTCCACAAATATTGGATGAAATATGGGTGAGAATTATAGAAAAATGGGAGCTCTTTTTTAACTCTTTTTATTATAACCTAAAAATAATTAACTTATTAGAAGGTTCGTAAATATATTTGGAGAAAGGAAAAGGACAAAAAAAAAATATGGTGACATCTTGGACATCTTTTATCTTACTACAAAGTTAGGAAAATAATGAAAATAACCTTCACTACAAAAAATACAAAAATTCCCTAACTTGAGAAAAAATGAATAATCGGGGAGAAAAATCATTTACAAAAATAATGGTCTAATCATTCAAATATAATATTAAATTGATAAATTTTATCATATCAACAAATTTTATATTTCAAATCTGTTATTTTATTTATTTGTTGATCTCTTTAAATTAAAATTTACAACAGTATTATCTACTTTATTATTCGAACCAATAATTTTATAATATTTTTCTTATTTATTAAAATAAATAATAATTTCTTGAGCCAATAATCACCCTCTATTTTAAAATTTATTTATTTATTTCTCTCTATTAAATAATACCAAATTGTTTAAGTGATTATTATAATTTACTACTGTCATTGTTATTAAGTGATGTATTTGTTTGCATTGACATGTCAATTAATTAATAAATCATTTTACTTATTAACATTCATTATTATATTTTAATACAACGTGTGGAGTGATGATTGAACTCACAACTTCATGGTTGGAGGTATATGTCAATTATCACTGACCTATACTTATTTTGGCATTATATAATTTTATATTAATGCACATATTAGACTTTAGGTTGTAAATATGTCAACTTTAACAATCTATGTTAACGTTTCATTAAGAAATTCTTATAAATTTCTATAATATTCATGCTTTTTTTCAAATGATCTGAATATCTAAAGATCTATGGATAGCAATGTTCCATTTATATCCTTCAAATCCTAGTATCTTCGTTATTGTCTAATTATTCTCCATTTTTGGTTTTCTTCAAATTTTATACTTTATCCATGGCATTTTCTATGTACCTAGTATATATAGAAATCAAATATTTAATATCATGCATATTGAAAATTCATGGGAGCATTAGAGGTTGATTTTCTTAGTTTCCTTTTAAGTTTCAATAAGACTATTAAATGAATTAATCATGCTTTAGTTAATCCAATAAATATATATATATATAAACCAATGCAATTACAATGTATGTTATTCTTTGTTTATTACATTAGATTCTCTGAGTATTATATTGAGTTTTGTTCTTTTTCTTTCCCTTTTTCGATCTAATTCTTTTATCTTTTAATCGATACAAGACTATGTTCGCATATATTTAAAAACTTAAAATGTTGCAACAAATTGAATGCAGTCACGTCTGACGTTTACGAAATTTAGAGCTTGAGTTGGGAGTGCACTTATCTCCTCATCACACTTTCACAGAAAAACAAGTATAGATTAATTGGTTAAGGGACATTTTAAATGTCGATGTACACAAAAATATGTCAAGGTTTCAATTTTATAAAAATGTTCGATGGAGATATTAACAAAACGTTGAACTTAAAGGATCAAATCACAAAAATCAATAACTTTATTAACAAATCAATATTTCACTCGTTTTAGATAAGCTAAAAAATTCTTATTATTTATATTATATTCGAACTAGTAATATTTTATTGATATTTTTCATATTTTGTCCTTTTTTTATGGAAAATTAATAGGGAAAAAAAGGTTATTTTTAAAAGTTTTTAAATATAACGTCAATAGTCACCATTATGATGAGTGGGAAAAAAAATCTCATCAACACTTTAAAACTCAAGAACTAAAGTGTAATTCTAAAAACTCAATGACCAAAATAACCTTTTAAGTGAAACCTCAGCGCTAAAATGGTAATTTTCCCTAAATCTAATTATTATAAAATACATACAAGAAACTTGAGGGGTTTATTCATTACATTTGAATATTTGAAAAGTAGCACAAATTTATGTCATTGATGAAATCTCTCTTGAGATTTATAGTTTATATATGATGATAACTATAGAAAACATCACTTGGAAAAACAGAGCTAAATCTCTTCAGCTTTCATGAACTCAAATCTAAAACTTTTCCATCAATGATCCTCATTGCCTTCATCTTTTTTGTTGTTGGAAGTGACATGAACAGGACCAGAACTAACAGATATTTGAATGTTCATGCTATCTGATGAAGGCTCAAGAAACTGAGAGGATTGCGTGTGTTGAGCAGCGCTCGACGTGCTTCCTTCCGAGCAGTTCTCCGTCGTCAAAACAGAGGATGAAAGTGAGGTTTCACCTAGAAGCATAGCCGAGGAAGAAGTGCTCGGCTTTGTCTTCACTCTTCTTTTCCATTGATGCAGCGAGTGTCGAACATTTTCCGACACAAGTGATTTTTTGAACCTCGACCCCATCTACGAGCACATTTTACACTCCTTCAAATTGGGAGGAAGTTTGATGAAACTTGGAGAGTTGGAGAGAAGAGAAGCCAAAATCATACCTGAGTTACTATAACATAGAGTGGGAATGTAATGAAGCTACACCAGAACTGAGTGATAACCCTGCAATGAATAAGAATGAAGTTTCAACATAGCTATACACTAGTTTCGATATAAGTTTCATTCGGGAGGAGGACATCACGCACCCGAATGTTAAGCGGATTGCGACGTATGTTTGGTTCTCCATGAAACAAGAGGGTTCCCTAATTTCCCACTGAAAGCTAAGATTTCAGTTAGTAAGACCAAAAAGAAATTTACAATACCAAACCAAAGAACACTGTCCCATTAAGACATAGGAGGCACTCTATTGACTAACATAACTAAAACAATGATCTCCACATTTGAGAATACAACAACAGATCAGTGAATAAAGATAATGCCGTCCAACTTCTTAGCTGATTCGAGATAAGAACTCAGACATAAACTCGGCAAAGTGTTTGTGAACGGTTTTGATCAAGGGGAATCGAAACCGAAACCGAAACGGAACCTGCTATAATTTATAAAGATTGAGTATTTTGGGTTCAGGGTAGCTCCTCCTAATTCAAGTTTGAGAGAGAAGCAGCACACTTTTATTGAATTCTTACCAGGGACCAAATAAATGTAGCCACCTCAAAAGCATTCTGCAAAAGAAATGCTACTGTGAAACACAAATACAACAAATACTGCAAAAGAAACTGGGTTGTTTTTTTATTTACTAACCTGGAAGGATATAAATTGTAACAACCATAAGAGGAGCTTAGGCTTCCCAAACCAAAACAGCTCATCCCTCAAGTTAAAATGATAGTATCCCCTTGGAGATGTATCCACAACTTCTACTGCCAACTTCACCACTACCCGGTGCAGTTTCGTCCCGATCAGCAGAATCACCTATCAGTTTTGGTTAGCCAAGGGAAAATAAAAAGATGGATGGTTTATCATCATCGGAGGGAACCATTAAGAGGATCCGAACATAGAAACCAGACAAAGATTAATAGAGAACTTACAAGTGCGGGGAGGAAAGAAAGCCAAAAGTAAATATTGCTTCCTGGATAAGAAGGATGGCTCAGTCTCCATTATATCATTAACCAGAAGGGCCAAAATGCAAATATTATTTCAATGCTTGGATGAACCAGTAAGATTGAATTCATATCAAGTTTTTCTGAATAAAGTGTGTGTGTTCTTTTCTTTCATTTCATTAGTCGTGAAGGGAAATTGAGTTTGTTAAATCAATGGAAACTTTTTAAAGCTCTTCAGTTAAGGATTTGGGAGATTAAATATTACCATGGAAGTTGAGGAAGATGCAGGCAATGGCATATATCCAAAGTGGCACACTGCAAATGCAGATGAAACAAATTTTAAAAATAGTCTTCTTCCTTGGGATGATGAAGTGAGACATTTGATGAAATGAGAGAAGATTTTTTTTTTCTTTCTCCAATATCTCGAGGCCCTTAATACAGTGACATGTCGACATGTTGCTCGATATTTAATATACACTGTAGCCAAACATTACAATAACAGAAATCTCCCTAATAATCCTACAAAATCTTAATCTGATTGCAGAAAACAGGTAGATCCTTTATACTAACGTATGTAAATTGTTAAGGCCCCTATAATAACACTTCTATTTTTAGTTTAAGTTTTATGTTGTAAAAAAACAAGGCAGTTTGATAATTAATATGTATCTATATATATATATATATATATATATATATATATATATATATATATTGTTTTCTACCTTTGAAAAACACTTGAAATCAAAGCCAACTGTCCAAACATTATATAGAGATTTGAAGTCCTTTTTCTTTAGTTTTTGAAGTTTGACTAGGATTTCAAAATAATTATGAAAAGGTGAGTACAAAAGAAAATAACAAATTATTAGTAAACAACCTTATAAATAATTTCAGTCTCCTCCAATTTTAGGCTCCATTTACTTGTCACGATTCGAATGAAATACAACTAAAATGAAATCAATAGGAACGAGAATGTTATTTTTCTTTTTATATTGTATATTAAAAGTTTTCTGGAATTAAAAAAAAAAAACTATTGATATTTTTTTACTAAAACTATCTGAAACCAAAATAGAAATCAAATATATATGATCACTAGAATATTAATTTCTTATTTCTACCTAATTACAAATACATTAACCAAAAAGTGTACTAATATTATTTTTTAATTAAAACAATAATAAATTTTAATTTATTTTATTACCATTTTATTGATAGGAAATTTTTTTAAAATAATTTATTTAATATTAATAAATAATTGAAATAAAATTACATCAACCAAAAAATATAATTTTTATTAGAACAACTATCATTAATATAAAATATTAATAAATTTTACTGTTATAAATTTAATAATATTGGATTCTATTTTAACAATTTTATTGGTATTAATCAATAATAACAAAGTAAAATTAAATAATTGATCAATTAAATAGAAATTTATAATATTTTATAATAAAATCACATCAACCAATAAAATTTATATAATTTTTTATTAGAACAAAAATGATTAGTAGTATAAATAAATAAATAAAATTGTACAACCATTAATTAAAACATTATAAGTTTAATTCAGAAAAATGAGAAAAGATGTAAAGTAATTATTGCAAAGGTGTGAGATCCACAAAATAAAGAATGAGAACGAGACTGATGAGATTTTATTTGAGGAATTAGATTCTCTCTTTTTCGAAAAAAAATAACTTAAGTGCTTACTAGTCAGCACCCAACTTTTATTGACCACCATTAATCTTTTTACAAGTAGGAGAGATTTTTTGTTAAAAGCCCATTTATTAGTGATAAGTACAAATATTGGTGCTAATTGATAAGTACCTAAGTATTGTTCGTTCGTTTTAGGGGTAATTCCCAAATTTGAAGTTGGTAACATATTCAATTCATGCATTTTAGCAGACACTATCAAAAGGGAATGAATATTTCCATTCTCATTCCTTGATTCTCATGCCCTTAAAAGTAAACAAGTGATATGGGTTATGTCAAATCTTAACAGGTTTTTAGATTGTCATCCTTGAGAAAGCAAACTTTTGGCAGGATCACTAAAACATTGTATTGTGGTAATAATATCATGGAACTAAAAAATTTACATCAAACTCACACGTGACTCTGATACTAATCCATATGGTAGCAGAAGATCTAAGAGAAACAATTGTAAATACATTTACATCAAATCATATTGAGCCTGTAAATAATGAAGCTTGACATAGAGTTAAGAGGAATAACCTTATACCAACCATATCGCGAAATTCGTCCTCCATGCTTCGAAGCATATAATTATGAAAGTCATATGATACAGGGAGTTGATGAGTCTACATTCCACAGGAAGACAAACATGGGCAAGAAAGAAAAGAAACACTGAAGTTAGTATATTGGTGAAGGCAAGTTGATCTAACAGACAAAACACTCAATTTTTCCCCCTTCAAGTTGCAGTCAACCATCCTTCCTTATACTTAGATGCTATGATGTGGTAGACCTTTTGTCTCTGTTAGGGGATGTAGTGCTGGATCCGGGGGAGAGATTGTTGTGTTTGGGTCCCTTACTAGTCTAGGGGGTTTTCAGGCAGTTCATTTTTCCATCTTTGGTGTGATCATCCCCCTCTAGTTGCTCTTCATTCTCCTCGTTGTGAAAGGTCAAAATTCCAAAGAATGTCAAAATCTTTCTTCTTTTGTGATGGGACCGCAGTGGTGCTATCTTCGCATAAACGCGTTGAGGATCTAGATCACATCATTTGGGTTGTCAGTTTGCTAGCTCTGTTTGGGACAACTTCTTCCGGATGCTTGGTGTGTGCTTGGCTAGGTGCACAGATTGTACGTCTATGGTGGATGAGGTCCTTTTGTTTCCTCCATTCCGAGATAAGGGATAGATTTTATGGCATGGTTGTTTCTTTGCAATTCTGTGGTGCGGTTTGGTTTGAGAGGAATAATAGAATTTTAGGTATGGGGAGAGATGTTGGAAGGAGGTGTGGGGTCTTTGGCCAGATTTAATAGCTCTACTTGAGCATTGGTTTCTAGGGACTTTTATAATTATCCGTTAGGTCACATTATTTTGGATTAAAGCCTTTTTTCATATATTTAGTTCTGGGGCTCCCCCGGTCACGGGCTGTTTTGGGCTGGTTTTTTAACCCTTGCCTTGTTCTTTTATCAATGAAAGCTTGGTTTTTCATCTAAAAAATGATGTGATTTTCTTTTTCCTGTGATTATTTCATCTTCCTTGTAAACACTGGTTCCTCATTTTATAGCAGAGAGTATTTTGACCATTTTTAGCCATCCATAGGATTTATCTTATGTTGTCCAACCATCAACTTATTCATTATTCTAGGGATGAAAACATGGGAACATCAAAACTACTTCAGAATGAGAATGGACATACACTGATGAAGCCCCACCGTAAAGCCATGTAATCAGCTCGGTTGATAGAACTCCATAACTGGCGGCTGAAACAGAGCTGCAAGTTGATACATTTAGCTTTAGAATAATTAACATAACAATCCCCGAGTTTCGAGTTTCGTGTGCTCCAGAACGTAATACAATGATAGAGTGTTTGCTGAAGTTGAAGCTTTAAGCCACTTGAGAATAACCAGTTTGATAAAAAATAGTGCACAAATGAAAGATGAAAGTTTATTTTACAGTACAATTGGTGCTATCTTCATCAGAAGCTCAAAGGAAAACAGAGAAAATACCAGCCAAACAAGGACTCTATGCTGACTCCATGGATGAGAGGTATGGTGAAAGACAAAAGTTGATAGTCGCCTTATTTTCGGTCCAGTCGATGGTGCTCGTACAGATTCTTCTAGGTTCAAATTATGAATATTGTAGGTCAAAATACAATCAATGCAAGTTCTTAAAAATGCATCTATAATGACTTCAAAGGAAGATCCAAAACTTAGGAGCTGAAGAAAATTAATGATTTGGTGCAATATCATTTACCTTGTGAGTTCTGAATGGCCAAAGCCTTGGCTTCATTTTCCCATGTCCTCCAGCCATATATCTGAACAAGAAGAAACAAGCTTCAAGAGGATATGGAAACCAAGACAGAAGAATTTTAAGGCAGACTGATACGAGATATGAAATATGCCAACCTTAATCATGGCCAAAGCTATGGCAATGAAGTTATAAGAAACATGGGTGATGCCGAGAACGAATATTAATCGATGAAGTTGCTCTAAACTTTCATACGAAGCAAACGATTCACGACCCTGGAAAGCAAAATAACAACATATTGAATGACAGACAATATAAACTTCCCAGTTCATTCTTTATTCAAATCGTGCTCTGCCACCATGTTAATTCACCATTATACCTCAAAACCAAAACTCCTTAACTGCACTACTAAGTAAGAAAGAGTACCTCAGGACAGTACTCTCGTATCCCAGCATTGTTGTGCTCCTTTGGAAAAGAACCGTTCACATTTTCGCTTAAAATAGAAATGTGCCTAACTTTTTTCAGATCCATCTCCAACGCACAGGGATAGAATCGGCTGCTTAAGACTGACGATTTAACACAAATTCTGGCGACGAATACAATCCAGTGACCCATCAACAATGACAGAAGTCCAAAGAGCATCAGCTCTGCTCGCAAAACCATGAACCCCAAAAAGAACACACAAATCATTCAAACAAAATCAATCCAAAAGTGGAAACAAAATACCCATCTGATTTCTCACCTTCTCTAATCTTCTCCAGAGCAGCGAGTAACGATTTTCTCTTTGTCCTATTCAACCACTGCCAAAAAGGGTCTCAATCAAAAGGGGAATCAAGCACAAACCCAGAGGGAAACAAGGTGGGTTTTACCTTTTCGACCCGTTTCAGCGATCCTTGGAAGAAGAATCCAAGAGAAACCATGAGAGTGACGACTGTTGCGAAAGCCCATGTGGGGGTAACGGCCAAGGATCGTCCCTCTTCTCCCATTTTCGCAGCTCAGTCCAATGAGGCTCGATCAGTTCATCTTCATCATCCGGAAATAGCAACCATCCTCCCAACTGTCTCCTCAGGTCTCGGATTCGAATAAGCAATCGCATTAATTGCATCAACGGAATGGTGGGCTGCGTTGTAGACCAATTGGGTCAGGAAATTTAAGAAGCCGAGCATTGGTTGTTTCAACCTAACGAGCATCGTGGGTTCCACTCGATGACTCCTCAACAGTGGCTCTGAATTTCTAAAACTCCGAGTGTAGGCGCCTCTGTCGCTTTCCATGCCTCCCATGGAGAAAAAGTTAAGGAAATCAAGATCAGAAATCAGAAAGAGAACAAAAGTATGATACTTACAAATCGCATCGCATTAGTTAGAATCAGGAACTGATCCGGTTGGTTCGGTTTTATATGTCGGGTTTATCGGTTCTTCACTTCTTCTTTTCTAATATATCAAGATTGAAGATCGCTCGAACGCAAGTTTTTCATTCTTTTTTTCCTCAGGCCATAAATCAATTCAAGTTTCAATCAATCCGAGGTTGAACCGACTAGCATAGATTGTTTAGTTCACATCCAAATCAGACTTTTGGTAAGGATTAGATTATAACAGATATGCGAAAGTCAGTAGTGGATCGTCTGCTATCGAAACAGTCAATCCAATCAGTATCGTAGAATGCAAAGAAGGTGATTAACAGTCCCAAAGTGACGTTTAAGCCAAGGTCAAAAGAATCCTTCAAATCCGGTAATATGCATTTTACAGCTTGAAGATGTATGATGTGGTAAAAATATGTACTGACAACTTTGATTGACCGCATAAAAAGAAAGGAACCAATTTTAAAGTACAAGAGATTTTACTTTTGAAAATTTAATAATTTCAACGTGACACCAAATCTTTTTTTTTTAATTTTATTATTATTTTAGGTTAAAAAATACTTTTTGGTATATGTTGTTGGATTAAAGTAACGATATAGTTTAAAATTTTTGTAAAAATTTGGTTGATATATAACTAAATCTTAATAGTTTAACATTGTAACGATTTAGTTCCTACTCATATGAAAAAATCTCATTTAACATAAAGTGTCAATTATTGTTATGTAATAATTTAGTCTTTTAATTTATAAACACATTTGATCGTTAGACCAAAATACTTTTCTAATCTTGGTTTTACGTTGAAACCACTAATTTCAATAAGAAAAATAAAAAATAGAGCTCGTAGATGCAATTGGAAAAGAAGAGTTAAGAAAAATGATAAAAATCTCAAATCAACCCTTCATTACAAGTAATTATACTACAATATCGGAAGAAGCATGAAGGTTGAAATATAAATCATAAATTTACAATTTATTGAGATTATTATTTAAATGCTATTATTTATTTTTTTTTTGAAAGAATTTAAATGCTATTATTGTAGCTACCACATTGGTTAAATATCAACAATAAAACATAAAGCATATGAATTTATATATAGCAAATTAATGGCATTTAAGGCTCTTAAAAGAATCTCAATACTAAGTACAATTATTATTTCATTATTCGATCTATATCATATATGCATTATTTTCAATCCAAATCACTATGAGAAACTATTTCTTAAGGGAAGAAGAACTACTTGCTAAAGTATCAGAGTACATTTGCGGATTAATTCTAAGAATAGAAACGTCAAGGACCTTGTAACATAATTGTTCATTGTTTGAGTCCCAACACATCAAAATCTGATCTCCGAGCACATACCCTTTGTCTTCGGTGTCCCATTCGATATGATATTCTTCCGGGGCAACTCTCCTCATGATTCTTTCCATTTTTTTGTTCATGCTTACATCGAATAGAGTGATTTTCACTCCATTCTCTATGTCAGTCATCGCCTTCTTAACTTGGCTGGGTGGTAACCTTTCAATTAAGTTCTTTCTAACCTCTGATTCCTCCTCTTTCAATCGCAATGTTCCATACAGCTCTCTTAATCCCAACCTCATTTTCATTGTCCATTTGATTTTCATTTTGGTTTCTTCACCTTTTGATCTCTGGTCCAATCTCTCTTCCATGGCAATTACTATGTACCCAGTATATAAGAGAAAGAGACTTTAGTCGTTTTAGTCGTTTCTTTACCTTTCGGCTTGATAACAACATATATATAATAAAGAGATGAACAATACATAGATACTTATCGGTCAACACTAATGTTCTGACAGCCTTTTTATATTTTGAAAAGTAGATTTTTTTCTTCTTTTTATATATTTCTATGTCCTACTTGTCAAACTTTAATGTTGATAAGGTAAAGGATAGGTACCGACCCGTAAATACTAAAGTATTTTTCATAAAGAGGGAGAATTACCTTTCGGTCCCTTGTCCATAAGAGTTTTTTTTTCCTTCTTTTTTGGCATTCCAATCTCTTGTCCATGGTCCTTGTTATTGTACATCCAATATATATTAGCAAAAGTGAATCAAACATTTAATATATCAAGCATGCATGTTGTAATCTAGAGGAGATGTCGGGTTTAATAATTTCTTTATTTCAATAAGGGCTATTAATACCGATACAAAAACATGAAACATAGTTCAACAAGAAAAAATATCATTTTATCACCCTGAATATAAGATATTCATAAATCTCTCTCTCATTCAACAAACTGGGGAGTATATAGAAGTTTGAACCTCCAATTTCAAGAGGAGTAAATGATGTTATTTATCGTCTTTGAGCTAAACTCATAATATCAACGTATCTTGTACTTAAAAAAGGACGATTAACATGGTATTCAATGAAACGAGCATGCTGTAATAAATCTATTAAAGATGAAATGAGCATACTATAATTAAATCGTGAAGGACACGTGGATTTAATTTTTCATAATCAAATCACTTTTGTCTTTGTCAAAATCACTTTCTGTCGTAAATATTAATGGTTCGTCCCAAAACCAAGCATTAATTTTTTTTTAAGGCCGACGAGTTAAGAAGGTTCCACACTCGAAGGTCTTTCAGGAGAATTTTTTTTTTAAATATTTAGGTGTTAACGGGTGAGCACAATGTACATCGAGAAATGAAAAAAATAAAAGAATTATGGTCAGAAATGGCCACCGGATAACTCACAGATATTTTAAAAATCATATACTAATCTTTCCCACTTTAAATTCTTCACAAATCTAACATAATTTAGATAAAATGTTACAAAATAATAATTATAGCAATGATTAGAAATATAGCAAAAAGTTGAACGCATATAGTATTAGTTATTATGTCTTTTTTAAATAAAAAATTAGTTATTATATTAATCATTTATGTAGAGTTAATATAAGTGATCGCAATTAGTTGATTGGGTGATTGCTATGATTATACTAATTAATTAATATATAACTTGATTTTTTCTAATTATGTATATATTTCAGTATAATAGATGACTGTGAGGATTCGAACTCACAACCTCTTGATCAGAAATATGTGTCAATTATCTTTGTATGCTCGCTTTTGTAGATATGGAATGTTTTAACCTCTCTAATTATGCTAAATTTAATCAATAATATATAAGTTCTTTTTTTTTTTTTACTACAACAGATAAGGGTGAGAGATTCGAACTTACAACCTTTTAACGTGATAGCTGTCAACTACTGATGAGCTCACGTTGGTAATAATATTTTAGTTAATGTCAATCAACAAGTACCATTTAAAATAAAGACCATATGGTCCAATATTATTAAAGTTAATGAAGGTGTGTTGTAATGATTTTTTTTATATAGAAAAATATAAAATTATCATTTTTTTAAATAATACAATTATTTCATTTTGAGAGAGAGAGAGAGAGAGAGAGGAGGGAGGGAAAATTACAAGGCTTATATTAATGATGTCCCATTCAATCATTTAGTTTTCAATAAAGTTGGTGCCTCTTTAAGCCAAAGCCACAAATAATCTTTAAATGGTTGAATTTAAGTAGAAAAATGATCTTCATTTGTCTTTTCAAAGACATTTCATAAACAAGGAGCCCATATTTCTCCACTTGATGACTTGATGCCAATTGCCACATTTCTTTTAGCTTCTAACTTTTTTCATTATTTTATAAAGGTTTAAATACTATTTCGATTATGGTAGTTTCGGTTTTAATTGATTTTGATGTTTATATTTCTAAAATGTTTATTTTAGTCTGTATACTTTCTAAACGTCATTTTGATCATTGTACTTTTAAAAATTTATCATTTTGGTCCCTTCATTTTTTTTAATGTCGTTTCTTTCAATTCTAATTTTAATGTGACACTTCAGTAAAAAAAAAAATTCTCAAAATATTATCCATGTTTTCATTGGTTCGACATCAACATGAGGAGTAAACCGACATTTCCATCATAGTACAAGAAAATCGGCAAAATATAAAAAATATCAACAAAATGTCACTAATATATATACATAATATTAATATTAATTATTTTTAACTAAATTAGAAATAGGAAAATATTTATTTGTTAATTTAAATATCTTTTACGATTTTTTAATTTTTCTAACTTTTACAGAAATATCTATCGACATCGACATTTTGCCGATATTTCCATCAATATTTCTATGAAATTGAGTACTTAAACCTTTTATAGAATTCTTTTATTACATCTGAAAACAACCTCTTCACATCTCATATATTAATAAATAATAACCGAAACTTTTCAAAGTATTATATTTTGGTTCTTAAAATTTTTTGAACTATCTAATTTAATTTTTAAACTTTCACGTTGATACTATCATCCCAATAAAAAAAAGACATAATGATCTATGTTGATCAAAGTTAATGAATGAGTAATAATTTTTAAAAAATATAGGTGCCATATTATATTTTTATATAATTACGTCTACAAAGATACAACATAATTTTTAATTAAATTTGTTATAATGTTAATGAATCTTATCCACAAGAATTTCCCTAATGTATAAATCCAATCATTTCATCTTGGAAAAGAAAATAATTAAAGATTACAAGACTTATGTTCATGTTGTCCTATTCAATCATTTAGTTTTAAAAAAGTTGGCATCTCTCTCAAGCTACACAACCATAGAAAATGGGGAAAAAATCAAAGGAAACAAAAAGGGATCTCTCTTTGGTAATTCTTTTTCTTTACCAAAATAATTTAGGTAATACTTTCTTGAAGGGGACTTGATAATGTGCATCAATTGTTACTATAAATTTTCAATTTCATCAAACTATATCTAAACTTAGATAAGTTTTGTAATTTCCATATTGAAAATATTGTAATCATACCTTAAACTTGAATATCATAAATGTTACCGTTCTTATCTTTGTGATAAATTTTTGTTTGAAGAAATGCTAATGAAATTATTCTGCGTTCTATGAATTTTATGTCATATTTGGTGGTGCAACAATGTCGATTTAATTTTGGGGGAAAAATGACAATAAAACTAGTTTTTTTTTTAATTTATTTTGAGTTTTGACAAAGTTATTCAATCATGTTGATCTTGTGCATTGGTTTAGCATTTGGGCAAAGCTTGATTTCACTTAAATTAGTGAGTTTTTTGAAATGAGTAAAGTAAATTAGGGGAAATTGAAGATAGGATAAAAATTTCAAATACTTATCAAAGTTTAGCGTCCAATGAAAAATAATACACATGGCTGAGTTTAGAGGAACAAACACCATCACGCACCCACGAAATGAAATAACACAATTCAAGAGTTGAATTAAAATAGATTAATCTTTAAAAGAAAATTGTGAATAAAAAAAGACTTTAGAGTTAAAATTAAACATTTTTATATACAGGTAAATTTTAATTTAGTGGTTGGAATGCTTGAAAATGGAAATTGGTTTAGGCTGAAATGTGAATCCATTTTTGTTCCCAAATCATCTTCTTCATCCATGGGATTTTAAAATTTTGATGCTCTTTTTTTTTTTTTTTAATGCTAAGAAAAATGCAAATTTAAATATGAGAGGAAGAAAGAGCTTCCCAAAATCAACACCAACACAAGAAAACCCAAATCTGGCTGTCTTCTGCTTGACTCTCCAACGGCCAAATCAGTCAGCCATGAATTTTCAGGCAGCGCCGCCGCCGCCGCCCCGGCGCTTGCCGCCTCCCCTGCCGCCGTCGTCGGTGAGGAATCTGTCGATGATTTCAGGCTGCAGAGGGAGAGTGAAAGAACTGTTAAATTTATGTTTTTCTTTTTTTTTCTTTCTTTTTTCTTTTTCACTTTTTTGTAAACCCCATGCCACAAATATATTAAATCTTATTTCAATTTTTGTTTTGGTCCCTCATCTACGTTTGTACCTAAACTTTTAAAAAACATGTCAAAGATTATTATTTTCTTGTTTAACATGAGTCTAGATTTAATACATGTCTATGTTAATATGGATTAAAATTGATATCAATCTTTAAACTTAGAAATTAAAATACACGTTTTAAAAAGTTAAAAACAAAATAAATAAATAAGTTGAAAGTTGAGAATCAAAAGAAAATATATATTTTAAAAGTTAAAAATAAAATAAATAAATAATATCAAATTTCATTAACTTTATAGTTTTGAACCAAAATAGAAATTTTCAAGGAATTAAATAGAAAATTTTTAAAATTTTATGGAATAAACTGGTTTAAACCAATGAAACTTTCACTAATTTAAAAGTAGAAAAATATTTAGGTGTTGACCGTAAGTATGTATCTCTTATCACCATAAAGAGATAAATGATGAGGTATGAAATATTTAACAGTGGAAATGACAAAATTCCTCGCTAGCAAATTACTTTTTATAAAAATAAATAACTGTGAATTTTTTTAACATAAAATACCAAATTACTCCTAAACAACTAAATATTATTCTTTTAAATGGGGATTTGGACCAATGTAGAAAAATTGTAAGAAAACTTTTAGCAAATTTAACCAAAAATGTGGAAAATTTTCACTGATTTGAAAATGGGTTTCATCGTCTTCTACCTTGGGGAAGAGGGGCAGAATGTGACTGTATAATCGGCGCCGGAGCAGGTGAAAGTGCTCGTCGCGTCGTCGTACGCGTAGCTATACGACCGAGGACACGCCGATTTGAAAATCTCCGAGTATTTCGACGGCTTACAGGTGGCGGGTGACCCATACGCGCCGCTGCAGCAGTACTCCGCCGTCCCAAACTTCTCACACGCGCTTCTACACGCCCCGCCGTTCTCCGCCTTCAGCTCCGTCGGGCACTGCCGGTTCAAGTCCGTCACGCACCCGGTCGACCCGCACGCGCCGGTCCCGCCGGTCCCCTCTACGATCATCGGCAAGTTATAGCCGTCGACGAGGCTGACGTCGTAGAAGTCCGTCGAGCCGAGCGTGAACTCCGCCAGAGTCGCCGGCGGGGCGGCTCCGGCGCCGTTGCACTCAATTTCGCCGGACCCACAATCTCCGGTGACACACACCCCACGACCGGCGCCGTCGAAATTGCAGTCGGTCCGGCCCCAGAAGCGGCCGGACCAGCCGGCCGGAGCTTGGAAAGATCTCGACCCGCCCCGCCGGAGCTCGAATCCGGTGGTGTCGAGTTTCAAGCTACCGGCGCCGGAGAGAATTCCCGGCCAAACCGTGAAATCGCATTTGTTCACAAACGTAAATTTAGCTCCCGAAGCCCCTGAGTTCCAAAAAGAGAGAAAAATAAGTGGACATTGCACAAAATTGAAGAACTCATAAACAAAATTAGAGAAAAAGAAACAGAATTACCATGGGAAATGAGGAGAAGAGAGAAGACCCAGAACAGGGGAGAAGAAACAGAGTTATCGGAGAAGAACTCCATAAGAAAGGAAATGACTTTTCACAAAAATGATGGATTGGGGATAAAATTGGAAATTGGGTATTGTTTTTAGCTGTGGGAGGGAGAGTTTTGAAGATGGAGTTGGCCATGGGTATATATAAAGAAGAAGAATGAGGGAGAAGAAATGGTGGAAGAAACAGTGGTTTTATCCATCTCCCATGTCATCGAATGGATATTGGATGCTTCCCATTTTGTGGTTTGAAATGATGGGGAAGGAGATTAATCATATTACCATATCAATTAATTTTTATGTGTTTCTCGACATTAAATATTATAAGTTCGGACAGTTATCTCGAAATACGTGTAAGTTGACCCATATACTCACCTATATAAAAAAAAGTTTAATTTTTAAACTTAATAGCAAGTACTTCAAAGTTAAACAAATTATTGAATGAGGTCGTCACAATCTAACAATCCTCTAAAAATTGTTGAATGCAAAGTTGCATATTAATTAATAATCATTGGATATAGTTTTCAATTACTTGTGTTGTCGTGTATGGCTGGTGGATCTCTCCAATAATTTTTCTAAAATTTATTAAATGAGAAAATCACGAGTGACTACTCCTAATAACGTTAGAGGCACATTGAACTCCTAAAACTAAGAGTTCTTGAATTTTAGCTAAATTAATTATATAAGATGCTTTTAATATTCATGAGCATGTCTTATGCTATAATTCGAGGTTTGCCCCGACTTTTTATTTTGCGGGGTTTTTTTTTAATATCAAATTTATAGATTTGGGAAAATTCAGAACTTTTGAAATATTTTGGGCAAAATTGAAATTAATCGTGCGATATTTTGTATGATTTAGCCTAGAACTTTTATGCTCTTAACAAAGTTAATTAATTATAGTATTATTAATCTCTCTTCAATCATATTTGTTTGTGTGTTTTTTTTTAAGACAAATTTTTATAAAATGACTAACTTGCCATAAAAGCTACAGACACTTGATAGTAAGAAACAACTACCTGCTTCAACCACACAGAAAAATCATTCAACCATAAATACGGAAGCCCCACAAGCCCCACACAAATTGATATTTGTTTGTGCGTTAGTTCAAGTAATTTAGTTAAATAAGACATTTACTTGTTGTACTAAAAAATATAAATTTATTACTTTCTCTCAAATTAAATGATCCTTATTTCACAAATTTTGGAACTAAAAAAAATTTATTTGTGTGTAAAAGTAAAAAGAAATTGTAATGTTGGTGTGTTTTTTAATATGCATATAGTGTGTGTGTGTGTCTATATATATATATATATTTATTATTATTTTTTTTTTTTGAGAAAAGGCATATACATATGTATCTTTAAAGCTAAAAATGTAGTTAAAATTTTAATCAAATTGGAGGGTTGGTTGGATTTTTTTAATTAAGTGTAATGAGGTAGATATATATCTAATATTCAGATGTGCCCCTTGCTCTAGATAATAATATATTTTTTTTTGATTTAAATACTATTTTAATTTTTTTAGTATTTTCAGGTTTTTAGTTTTGGACATCTATTTTAATCTATACATTTTAAATTATTTTATTCTTCTATTTTGAAAACATTCATTTTGGTCCTTAATTATACTTTTAAAAAATTATCACTTTGAGCCTTATTTACAAAATTTTAACATTAATTCTGTACAAAATAAAAATCATTTAATATAAAATTATGACTCCATTTCAATAAATTTAATGAGCATAATGTTGTATTGAAACTGTGATTGAAAAATAGATCAAAAGAAAAATAATGGATCAAAACGGCCACTTTTTACAAGTAAACGTTTGAAAGGTACCGGGACTAAAATAGACCAAAACTAAAATTACAATAACCAAAATATATGTTTTAACCAAAACTAAAATTACAATAACCAAAATATATGTTTTAAAAGTAAATGTACCAAACTAAACCAAAGCTGAAAATACAGACATCAAAATAGTATTGAACGACGTATATTTTTTAATTCATCTTAATATAATTGTCATTTTGACATATTACATTTTATTGGTGAAATTTTAAAACCATGAAACGTCTACTTTGCACCAATTAGTGAGGCCATGCATGAAAAGATTGCAACACTTTACCTAACAAGATGGAATAAGTATACCTAACTAAAGAAAACATATACAATAGACAAGATTAGCACAAATTATAATAAATGCACAATAATTAATTTAAGAAGATGTTATACTCTCTTATTATTATTTTGTATTTTTTAAATGGCTATCTCTTGTTTATTGAATATACTGTATGTGTTATGGGAAGATAAAAGAAGAACTAACTTAGCGACAAAAGTAAAGACTAGGTCGGGAAAGAAGCACACGAACTAGGTAAGTACCGAAACTCGTTGACCATGGTCGACCTGCGGTCGGCGCCGAGCAGTGCTCGGTGCCAACCAGGCCTTAACGCCGAGACATTCTCGGTGCCGACCAAGCCTCGGCACCAAGGTGTTCTTGGCCAATGACCAAGAACCCTCCTTTGATTCTCCTCGACTTTTGTGTAGCCCGATTCGAACCTGCCATATCTCAACACTCGATCCGACATTAAGCCCACGATGAAATACATGGGCACAGGAGTCCAGATCTCCTGAACACATTAGGATTTGACGTGTGTAAATCCTAAAAGGATTAGGATTCGACCTCTATAATTCCTAAATGGATTAGGATTTGATTTCTATAAATAAGAGGGTGAACCAAACCTTAAAAGTATGCGCACAATACCCTACACTCTATACTCGACTACTCCGATCCTAACTTAAACATCGGAGTCCGTGTGGCAAGAGTCACACCGGTCTTAGTGCTATTCTATTTTGCAGGTCTCGTCAATCCCTCTCTATTCTAGAAGCTTGGTGCGAATTTGATGAAATCCCAAAAAGTCAAATATGATTGGATTCGTATCCTCCAAAAGTAATTTCAAGTGGACATTAGGAACTTGAGTTGGGAGATAACTTTTTTACTCGACAACAAATTAAATTAATACTAGTTTGAGTTACAGACGTAGAGGTTTAAATACTAGTTTTGTCCCAGTATATATTTTTTATTTTGGTCCATTTTGGTCACAATTTTTCAAAATGTTCAATATGTTAGTGTCTAACTATCCGAAAAAAGAAAATGTTAATCTCTATATTTTAAAAATATTCGTTTTGGTCATCTGTACTTTTAAAAAGTTACCATATTTTAGTTTGTAACTATTTGCAAAATTTTGAACACAATATTTTATATATGTACAATGGAGATCATTATTTAATACAAATTCATGGCTACATTATGATAGGAAGAAATAAAGGACCCGATCACTTAAAACAAACAAAAGTTTAAAAATATGGAGACCAAAATAGATGTTTTAAAAGCATATGAACATAACAAATCAAAATCGAAATATATGGACCAAAATAGTATTTAAATCAAAAATAATAACTTTAATTACAACATAAAAAATATATATTGTATCAATCAGAATAATTAAGACGATAACAATAACTATAATCGAAGCATTAGTGATGATAAAAGACGGAACAAAATATTATGGCCACAACCCTACAAATTGGAAGGTGCATGGAAGAAAATGTTTAGAAAATATCATTAAAAATGGCCATTATACTACCGACGTGGCAGTATATAATTGGTCGATAATGAACTACCGTTATCCACGTTTCTACTACAATTAGTTCTGTCTCTTTCAAACAAACATATGCATTATTACATAATAATTAATTAATTAATTTTAAAACCGCATACGACTCTTCAATTATGGTAATGGTTAGTTGTTACGATAATAATAATTAACTTTTAATTTTAAAATAATCAAATATAATTTAAAAAAAAAAACTTTTAATTTTAAAATTAAACTCTAAGTTTGAGCATATTTTGGTAGATATATAAGACATTAATTAATTATCATCTTAAAAGTCCAAGAGTTAATTCCAATTATTATTAATGTATAAAGATCGATCCAAATATAACTCATTAGTGTATAAAGAAGTTAGTTACTTTTTTTAAGATCGAACACGGTCTCACATATTTATTGAACTTATTAAGAAGAACTCAAACATTTTATTTGATTGCTCTGAAATTTTTAGGGATTAGAAATGAGAGAAAATTAGTTGCTAAACCAAAACGGGACATTCAATAATTTGTTGAAAATAACATTTGTTTACGTTTAAACAATTTGTAAATAATCTGCATGCCACTATTCTCATTTGTTTTTATTTTGAGTTTTGAGAATTCAAACTCACGACTTTTTAAATGGGAGATGAGTGTCTTGACCAATTGAATTATGTTTGATTGGTCTCATTTGGTTTTTAATTGGGTACTTAAGTACATCTAATGATATTTGAATCATGTCAACCTGAGTATAATTCAATTGGTTAAGATACTTATCGTCACGCGAAAGATCGTGAATTCTGATCTACCCCCGTACTTGTTGTACTCGAGAAAAAATTATATACGAATCATGTTCTTTAAGATACAGTCAAAACCGGATTACAAATATATATCATAACTACTTGCAAACATGTGTTAAAATACTTAATGGTTTGCAATTTCTCGTTTTAAGAAAGTTCTAACATTGTGGAGAAATTTTGGAAACAATAAAATTAAATTTCTTATAAAACTTTTACCTTTTTTTAATCTAAATTCTAGAGAATGAGAACTTAAGAAATTGTTACAAAACACGTTTCTATTTGGTTTAAAAAAGAAAGAAACAAGAAACAATTACCAATGTAGTTTTGTTATTCTTGATTTAAAAAAAAAAAGGAAACAAGAAACATATCAAAAAGTAAGCGCTCATTTGGTAACATTATCGTTTTCAATTTATTAAGAAATAGAAGCATTTGGTAATTGTGTTCATGTTTTATATTTCTCATTTTTTTAGAAACGTTTCCAAAATTGAAATTTTGGAAACAACAAAATCAAGTTTTTGTTTAGAAACGTCTCAACGGATAGCTTGAATGGCTTTGAACTTCAAGGAATATCCTTTAGATTTTTTTTCAAGAAAAAAAGTTTTGCTTTATCATTCCTAACTTACGACATGCATAATAGATATTAAAAAATAACAATAACATTAAAAAAATGGAAATATTTAATTAAAAAAATAATTTTCATATAAAATTTTTATTTTAAAATTAAAAATTTTTAGAGAACAAAAAAAAGAAATGGTTACCTTCCTTTTGTCAATAAAGAAAACAAAAAA